CGGATTATTTTGTTTAGTGTCTAAAGAAGAGTCGATTTTTAGAAAAAATAAAATAATTTTAGGCTCCTTCACCCTCATCACTAAATTCTATCTGTTAGAAAAGGATCGTTACATTAGTGAATTAGTTCTTTTCACGGAACTGAAACGTGCCACGTCTGGGAGAGAGTATTACACCCGGGCCCTTGTTTCCGGTAATGGGGAATGTTGGCTCCAGGATCTACAGAGCCACCTTTTGTTTGCCCTGTCTTTCGCATTTCATTCTGTCAGAGCCCCTGCAAAAGGTGGGAGAGAAAGGGGGAGGAGGGAAGAGAGAGGGACCCAGTCATTCTCATTGCTCATTTCCTTGAGACACCCTCCAGAAATAGCCAGTCAGGAACTTGGAGTCCGTGGTTTCCTTTTAGGTTGGGGCTGTTTGCTTCAGAAGGAAGAGTCCCTTTATTTCCATTGTGTTCCATCTGCGGCCAGTCCCAGAGAGAGGGTCCTGCCTACCAAACAGCGGGATCCATTTCTAGTTGAGGAACAACTAGATCTAGTTCATTAAATATACATATATAGGGCTCTTTGAAGGTCAGGCTTGGGGGGGAAATAATTCTTTCTCAAGCAATCTGCAAAGATTATCAAGTCAGTGTTTAATATTAGTTACTATTAATGGTTACTTTATTTTTTAAATTTATTTTTTATTTTATTTTTAAAGATTTTATTTATTTATTTATTTATTATTTATAAGAGTGACAGCATGAGCAGAGTGTGGGGCAGAGGGAGAGGGAGAAGCAGACTCCCCGCTGAGCAGGAAACCCAACGCAGGACTCAATCTCAGAACCGTGAGATCACAACCTGAGCTGAAGGCAGATGCTTAACCAACTGAGCCACCCAGGTGTCCCTATGTTGGTACTTTAATACATCTATATTGGTACTTAATACATCTGTCTCTAACAGCTGTTGTACAGGACAGTTTTGGGATCTCATTTTATAGAGTAACATGCTGAGGTTCAAAGGACCCAACTGGATTGTGTAGAGTCACAACAACTAATTAGTCAAAGAACATGAATCTGAATCAGATTTTGTATAGCTCCAAAAATCTATGTTCTGATCTATGCAGAGACAGGGAAGAACTTACCGTCGGAGAGAATGGTAGGTGGTGGAGTTATGGACCTGGTGTTTGGGCCTCAGACTTGTGGCTCAGCCCCTATGGCACTCTGGGTCACTTATTTAACCTGTGTGAACTTTGGTTTTCCCATCTGTAAAATGGAAATGACAGTACCAACTCACAAGGTTATGGTAAGGAACCCATGACATGGCCTATAATGGCTCTGCTAGTTGTAGGTATAATAAAATTGAGTTACCTTCTGTCTCACAACTATGTTTTCTCGTTGTTAATCATAGGCGTACTATGGCCCCGTTTGAAGTAACCCCAGCTCTCTGTCGTTAGCATGTACGTTTCAGTGAACACTTTACCAGCTCTGTAGACGGGCGAGTTAATAGTTTCTGTTAAACTTGTGATTGCTTGTCTCTGAAATGGGAGAAGGAAAGCGCTTTTTTCCTGGTATTATCATGGGCATTCAATGTATTCAGCGACTATTTGTCAAACACTTACTAAATCAGCCCTGTCCTCCGCTCCAGGGGACACAGCGTCTGCTCTCATTTAGTGAGCAGGGGTCGGGGGGGAGCGCGGTATAGGTATAAGAAGTAAAAACTAAACATAAGGTCAAATGGTAAGTTGAAGGAGAAGCACAGCAGAGTAAAAGGTAGACGTGCTGTTTCTCTGAAGGTTTGTTCTGGTGAAGTGATATTTAGCCAGGATCCAAATGATGTGGGGAAGTAAGCCCATGGATTGCATGTGCCGGGTCGAGGGGTCAGACAGCCCCTAGACCCCGGCTGGCAAGGGAGCCTGCATGATACGTTTGCGGAGCAGCAAGAGCCGCTGTGCCTGGAGGAAGGAGCAAAGGGCTGGTGGCAGGTGACCGGAGAGGTAGCTGCTGAAGCAGGGAGAGCGTGTGGGGCTTGTCAGCCTTGGTGAAGACTTGGAATCCGACCTGCTGTAAAGCACCTGGTGTTTTTTTAGCAAAATAGTGTCGTTGGACACAGGCTTTAGACAGAACACTCTTACTTCTGGAAGAAATAGAAAGGTGCAAGGCTTCGAGGGAGCAAGGTCAGTTCGGAGGCTATGGTAAGAGCAAGAGAGGCTTAGACTAGCGTGGTGACAGGAGAGGGGGTCAGCAGTGACGGGAGTCCCAGGGAGTAGGTGCTGATAGAAGAGGTCTAAAGACAAAATCCTGGGGCTGCCTGGGTGGCTCAGTGGGTTAAGCCTCTGCCTTCAGCTCGGGTCCTGATCTAAGGGTTCTGGGATCAAGTCCCACATCGGGCTCTCTGCTAGGCAGGGAGCCTGCTTCCTCCTTTCTCTCTCTCTCTACTTGTGATCTCTCTCTCTGTCAAATAAATAAAATCTTAAAAAAAAAAAAAAAAAAGACAAAATCCTGGAGCTCCCTAGGGTTTAGAGAGGGGGAAGTTGTGCAGAGGAGACAGAAGAAGTAGCCAGTGAGGAATGAGGAGAACCCGGAGGATGGGATTAAGTGGAATTAAGACAGAACCATAAACTTTGCCAGGCACTCTAAGAAGCAGCTCGTTAAGTGTTAGATCTTGTATTACTTGGAATGCAGACTAGGCAGTTGTAACAACCAACTCCAAAATAGAGTTAAACAGGATAGAAATTTGTTTGTCTCTCACTTTCAGTCCGCATAGGTGGCTCAGGGCTGGTGCGCAGCTCAGTGGTATCAGGGACCCAGGCTTTTTCTTATTCACTCTTAAGAAATGTCTTATCCCCACAGGAAGGAGATAGGGTGGGTGTGCTCCGCTCCTTTCATGGGCCCTTGTCCATGAAGTTTCTACTCACATCCTATTAGCCAGGATCTAGTCACCTGGCCACAAGCCACAGGGGAAGCTGGGAAATACAGTCTCTCGCTGAAGATCTGGGTAGTCACCGAAATTTTGAACTATATACATGAAGGGAGAACAGATTGGGGAGACAACTGCCAGTCTGTGTGACAACCATTAGGTTTGTCTCACAATTGCGATGGCTAGATAACATCAGCCCTCATTTCATAATTTCAAAAATGCAGCACTCTCTCTACTGATGTATCCTTAAACTCAACGGTAATTTCTCAACTCCCTGATTATCACTCACTTTTCAGATTGATCCATCATGTTCTGTCCTAAAATGTTACACCATAACTTCAAAGCCGCTCTTTCACTTAGAAATAATTACAGATTCAAGGGAGGTAACAAAGAATTGTACAAAGAAGTCATGAGCACTTTTCCCCCAGCTCCCACCACCACCCCCCGCCCCAGTGCTAATAACCCAAACCACAATAGTCAGGATACTCAAGTATACTCAAGTGTACCATCACCACAAGACTCTCTCATATTACCCTTTATAGCCGCATCCACTCTTCCCTCACCCTATTGCTAATCCTGGCACACATTAATTTATTCTGTCTCTCTATAATAATGTTATTTCATGATTATTACACAAACAAAATACATGATATGCAGTCTTTTGAGATGTCTTTTTTCTTCATTATAATTTCTATGAGGTTCATCCTAGTTATTTTGTATAAAATACTTGTGGCTTTTTTTTTTTTTAATCCTATTTCTTGGGTTGGATTCTGTGGTACGGATGTCCATAGGCCTGTGTTTAAACCCTCTGTTTAACATAGTCCTATAACTGTTACCCAGATCAATCTGAGCATCCTAGAAATGCCCTTTGTGTCCTCTTCCTGTCACCGTCCATCCATCCAAAGTCAGTAATCTCCTGACTTTTAATACCGTAGGCTAATTGTGTTTGCGTTTGAACATCCTTCACAAATGTATAATTCCATTTCGGTTGAATGAGCTCTTTGGGTTCTGGTTTATTTTGCTTAACATTATGATTGTGAGGTTTATCCGAATGGCTCATTTTCATTGCTGTGTAGTAATCTATTGTGTGATAATGCCACAATTTATTTATCTGCTCTGCTGTTAACAAGCATTTTAGTATTCACTTGCTTTTGGCTAACAGTGGCATTGTGAATATTCCAGCATATGTCTTTAGTAAAAACATATATACTTTTGCGGGGAGGTACTTAGGAATTGGTGTGTCGTAGGTATATCTATCTACTCAGATTTAGTAGATACTGCAGACAGATTTCCCAAATGGTTGTACCAACTGATACTCTGAGCGGCAACACATGAGGGCTTTGGTTGTACCATAACCTTGTCAACACTTGATATTATCTGTCAACTTTTTCTTTATCCATCCAGTGTGTTGAACCATGGCAGCCATTCCTTCCATTGGTCACGCTTCATGCTTTAAGCAGAACTTCTTTGTTTTTCTTTTGCACCACTAGCAGATAGAAAACTTTGTATATTCTTTCTCAGTCTTCAGATTGAAAGGCTTATTTGGCTTTTGAAGTTTCATTCAACAAACATTCAGGTCATAGGAGGCATTTTGGGGTTTGGAAAGGTAGCTAGCCCACAGTGTCTGCCATCCAGAGGTAATGTGGGTTTCTGAATGAGGACAAATGCTACTGAGCTGGAGAACAGGAACAGGGAACCTCACACAAACATTTCTTCTGACCTCCCAGGCTAATAGCAAGCCTCAGATACTTCCTTTGTTCTTGTCAAGAAAATTCTTCCTTTGGAGCATTTTTTTCTTACACAAATGGCCCTTGTAGGCTTATTTAACCTTTTCTTCCCTGTTAAGTGCTGTCGATTTGAGCAAGACCCATTTGACTTTGACATGTATTTCAGTTAAGAAGCATGAGAATTTCCTGGTATTTACTCTGGTTGCTAAATTGTTTTTTAAATAAATTGTTTTTAAAATAAATGAAGGTATAGTCTAGGATGCCTGTCCTTTCACAAGAAATGTCTTCTCTGTATCTAGATTGTGTCTCCATAAATCTTCCAGATATGATACTATGTACTTTGGCAGATTTCTCAGAAACACCACTATTGCTCCTTTCTAGAAATTTGGAACCATCCGGGCAGATTTGATTGAGCAGATGAGATTCAAACAGAGACTGAAGGTGATCCAGACGCTGGAGGATACTACGAAACGGAACGTGGTAAGTCCTTTGAAAAACAGCAGGTGCCCTTCTCGCTCCATAAACTCCTGCTGGACAGACTAAGATGGTTTAAAAGAAGAAAATCAGAACTTTGCCAATATAATATCTTTGAAATTGTGTGATTCATTGTGTCTACCTTCTTATAGGTCCGAACAATTGTGACGGAAACTTCCTTTACCATTGATGAGCTGGAAGAACTCTATGCTCTTTTCAAGGTGAGTTTCAAAGCAAATCCATGTACAGCCAGGGGAATAAAAGAGTTCACTTTAATGATTCAGTTAGTTCTAGGTTTTTCTGTTAAATTGATAAGGGACAGCATGAAGATCAAAATGCATAAATATGTAGAGCTGAGAGTATAAGAGCGGAATGCTTAGTATGAGAAGTAAACATATTCTTATCAGTCATTTAAGCCAATGTGGTAGCTCTGTTCCACTCCATGTAATATTTTAGCTGTTTCCTTGGACTTGACCAAAAAGGGTATTACTTTATAATACTCATGGGAATGATGGCAATTGAGTTTAAATGCTGCCTGAAATTATTGTAAATTGTGATTTTTTTTATTTTAAGCTGTATTAAAGCACCTTTAGAGCTTTCCTATCTTAAGCTATGTTAAAGCACACTGAAAAAGAACTATGTAGCTAGAGTCAGAATAAGGCTGTACAACTGTCTAAGGAAAAGCTGGTTGGTTAAATTTCTGTGGTTTTCATTCCATAATTCAGTCCATACCAATCTTAGTCCTGAATGACAAAAACATTTTATTAGTAAATAATACAAAGTAGATTTTTTTTTTCTTCTAGAAAAAAATACTTTTGTCCTAACTATCATTATCAACCTCATAAGCAAAAATGTGGCAGGGAGCAGGAGAAAACTTTTAAACAGATGTCTTTTATGCTGATGCCATGTTTATCCTGATTTCTAATTGGGCAGCTTCTTTTTTGTAGTGCCTTTTACTGCCGGAGCTAAACTTGACTGTTTGGAAGACTGCAAAGATAGCAGGAAGCATACAACAACAAAGATCTGGGCTGAATACTAATAGCTCTTAGAATCGAGGGTGTGATAGCTGAGAATGTTTTTGCTAATATTACTGCTTTGCTTGTTAGCTACTGAAGAGCACCTCTCCTTTATTTTATATTTTCATCATTTTTTAAAATATTTTATTTATTTGTCAGAGAGAGAGAGAGAGAGGGAACGCAAGCAGGGGCAGGTGCAGAGGGAGAAGCAGGCTCCCCACTGAGCAGGAAGCCTGATGCGGGGCTCAATCCCAGGACCCCCGGGATCATGACCTGAGCTGAAGGCAGAGGCTTTAACTGACTGAGCCACCCAGGCGCCCCACCACTATTTTATTTCTTCTTGTGTCACTGGTGCCTACTGTAGTGTCTCTGCCTGGCAGGTGCTCTGAACATGGGTGTTGAATAGATAAATGAGTGATCAGTTACTCATCTAGCATAATCTCTGCTTGTTTCTGATGCGCGTGCAAAGAGATTGAGGTCTCACAGGTGGTTAGTGATGCCCGTCGTGTAGCCCGGCAGTGTGACCGGCAGCGTGGACCCCACCCCCTCCCCCACCAGCCTCCATTTGGCACTTGGTGATGAAGTCTTTCTAGTGTGCCAGCCCACTCATATTTTATCCATACACCATAACTAACTGCTCAGTATAAGCAGGTCATACCTAAGAAAGGGTCCCTCTTGGTTTCACAAAGGAAAAATGCAACGAGCCAACCTGGATCAAAACAAAAAGATACAAGGATCCAGTTAGGATCAGATTTTAAAGGGATGCTGAGGACCAGAAGAAATGTGCTTGGCGGGGTGGTAGGGGATAGAGCTGGGCTTTGGGGTGAGTGAACAGAAGTGGGAGTAGCAGCTGGAGGCAGCAAGGCCATGAACAGGTGACAGGAAGGACATTGACATTAGAAAGAGGAAGCTGCCCTTGGGGGACGCCCGGGAAAGGAGGATGAGGCCGCTTGTGTGCAAGTCCCAGATGTGGAGTTTGCTGAAGCCATGACTTCTTACCTGCGCACTCCTGCACCTTCTGGTCTGCGCACTGTCAGGTATCAGGTGTGTCCTGTGGACCCTGAGGATATGCCTGAAGAAAACACACTGTCCTGAGACTCCAAAGCCCTGCCCTAAGCCTGTGTTCACAAACAGGAGTTCACCAAATCTGCCCAGCTCCCCAAGAAAGAATCCAAGACTCGGGGTCGGGGCTGGGAAGGAGCCTAGATACTGTGGAACCCAAGATAAAAACTTCAGTGATGGACTCTCCTTTGAGTGTTCCAAACACTTTAATTGGCCTTAAATCACTAGAACAAACACTGAGGCGTCGGTATTCATCAGACCCCCTGCCAGTCTCTTTAGTCCTTCAAACAGCTAGTTTCTGGGGTCAAGTGGGGGGTTTTCTGCAGATAGAAAGGAAAGATGCAGTCCTTTCCTGAGGAGCTCAGAAACTTGGCAAGCCACTAAGCCTACACCTGCAACTAATGTAACATTGTGTGTTAACTATACTAAAATTTAAAAAAATAATAATAAAAAACTAAAAAGTTAAACTTGGAGGAAAAAGGTGCAAAGGCTGCCACCTTGAGGCACGTTTGATGGAAAATATAGTTCAAGGCCCCTTTGCCCTAGTTTATCTCGAACTCTCTTTGGTTCTTTTTGGACGTCCATGTCCCTGGTCTCCACGTGACAGAGTATGGGGGCAATCAAGGAACAGGCTTGTATTCTTCTGATGGTGGGGAGCAGCATGAAAGTGCCTGGACCCACATTCAAGCCTGGTTGTAGAGTAACTTGAATGCTTTAGTTAGAAGGAAATGTTCTGGGCAACCTTTATCCGTAGCTCAGGTAAAGAGGACCCCTGGGGAGGGGGGATCATCAACCCCCCCCACAACAGAGGGCTCTGGGGAATCCCCTTCCAGCTCAATCCTTGCAGCCTCTCTGATGGCCTCTCTAATCTCAGCTTCGCCTCCCTCAGACTGCCCGCCCTCTGACCTCACCACCAGGAATGCAGTCCCCAAGCCCTGGTGAAATCTGACCGCTTCCTTCATTCTCCAGAGGCTCCCTTGAGGAAACCTTGTGGAAACCTGGCTTTGGCTCTGCTTCCCACCTCTCCTCCTTCCTCTCTTGCCTACTCCCACTTCTCTCTCTTTTAGTTCATTAGTTGTGATTCCCAGTAAACAATTGTGAAGAAACATTTGGGCTTTGCTGCTTTCGAAGTAAGGGCAAAATCAAAGTACCACACACAATGACTGATTCCCCCTTACACAACTCCCAGACAAGGGGGAAAGATTGGATTTGAAAGTGCTTTTTTTCTATTGCAATATTTATACGTTAATGTTGTGAAATAATCAGATAGTACAATAGGGAATAATGTAAAAATAAAGTCCTCCTTTTCATGCCCCTCCCATCTCTCCCATCTACCATCCAGAGCTAACTGGAAATGTCAAGGGAGGGGTATCCTTCTGGGCTTTTTTGTTACGAATTTTATCTTTGTGGTCTTCCTAGAATGGGTACATATATCTACCAGATCTAATACGACTTCATGAATAAGAGGCTGCCTTGTTTCCAAGGACAGAAACAGGAAGCTCTTTGTTTTTTCCAGAGGTCTATTCTCCTTACCCTGGTAGTTCCTACTCATAATTTTTCTAGAGCTCTTTTCAGATGTGCGCAATAAGAAGACAACATATTTGTAGCTTGAGTACTGTGACTATGCTATTTATGTCACTTCGGTGACCAAGACTCAGGGGGTGCATGGGACAGTGAACTAGGAATTCAGAAACCCCCGATATCATCATGCTTCTGCTCTGAGGAACGAGTTGACCTTCTGAGACCCACTCAGCCTCCGGGCTTCCTCATCCTCACCTAGAAAACATGGTGGTCTGATTAAATTACAGAACCTTTTCACGTTAACATTCTATCTAACTTTTTTAAATAACAAAATTGTGTGTATTTTCGCAGGAGTTATTTTTTTTAATGCTTGTGAGTGTGTGTGTGAGGGGGAGAAACAGAGTGATGTGGGGTGGGCGGGGCGGTCCCTTTCTTCACCTGCCTCCGGGAATGGAACTGGATCTTCCATACCAGATGTAAGCTGCAAAGGGGGTCCACGTGGAGTTAGTGGGGTGGTTGGGCGGAGATCTGTGTAGAGCAAGGAGAAGACAAGGAGCCCTGACACCAGAACTCCGCGCCCCAGGAGATGCACACGGGTTGGCAGGTTGACCGAAAGCCCTTTTGCAAACGTCAGGCAGGGCTTTTTCTTCCTGTTACTTGCTATGAGATCGCAACCCCAGCAATCCTCCTGTTCTTTCCTTTTCCAGGCGGAGCATCTCACCAGCTGCTACTGGGGCGGGAGCAGCAATGCACTGGACCGGCACGACCCCAGCCTGCCTTACCTTGAACAGTATCGCATTGACTTTGAGCAGTTCAAGGGGATGTTTGCTCTCCTCTTTCCCTGGGCCTGTGGAACTCACTCGGAAGTGCTGGCCTCCCGCCTGTTCCAGTTATTAGATGAAAATGGAGACTCTCTGATAAACTTCCGAGAGTTTGTCTCTGGGCTAAGTAAGCAGTGACGTTTTTGCATGACTTTGGAGGGGACCGATGGGGCAGGAACACCTGCTCCACTGCTGGTGGCTCTTGGAGCTGCCCTCAGGGCCCCAGCCCCACATTGCCTCCAAAGATTGGGTTTCTAGGACAAAGGAACACATTTTAAGGTTTGCAAACTGCCAGTGATGTTTTCTCTTGTTTTTTTTGTTTTGTTTTTTTAATTATTTATTTGACAGAGATTGCACAGGCAGTGGGAACAGCAGGCAGAGGGAGAGAGAGAGAAGGAGGCTCCCTACTGAATAAGGAGCCTGATGGGATCCAGGGACCCTGGGATCATGACCTGAGCCAAAGGCAGCCGCTTAACCAACTGAGGCACCCAGGCATCCCTGCCTCTTTATTTATTTATTTATTTTAGATTTTATTTATTAGAGCGTGCACACATGCACCCATGCACACACGGGTTGGGGGGAGGGGCAGAAGGAAGGGGAGAAAAGACTCCTTGCTGAGCAGGGAACCCGATGTGGGATTAAATCTGAGGACCCTGCAATCATGACCTGAGTCGAAGGCAGACACTTACCTGATGGAGCCACCCAGCCACCCCTGCTGCTGACATTTCTTTTTAGTGAATGGAGGTACTCTATGATTAAAGCATTGCCTTCTACATGAGTTAGTTCTCAGCCCTAGTTAAAATACATTATCAGAGAATTTGCAAGACAGTAAAATGTCAAGTTAAACACTGAAACCATAGGCCGTGATAACTTTCCAAGAGAAAAAGAAATATTTGGGTGGATTGTTTTTCTTGGACAAAAACTATATTTACATTATATTTCATAAAATTTTATAAAAACATTTTGTAATGTTTTTAATGAAGGGTTGAAGAAACCACAGCAGTGCTGCAGTCTAAATGGAGGTCTTTTCTCTCCATTTTACCTGGAGGAAGGACGGTCCATCACGAGTGAGAACACCCCATCTCATAAGCAGTGCGTAGTTTCTGCCCGTCAGCCTCCCTGACCATGATTCTGCGTTAGCAGGGCTGCCCTGTGTTCTTTTGAACTCTTGCTCTGTTTGTAACTGAGCAGAAGATCTATAGCGTAGTAGAGCCTGGCCTGCCAGATAGGAGGTTGTGGTTGTAGTGCGCATTATGGCAGGCTGCCAGAAGGAGAGAAGGAAAAAAAAAGTTGATTCTAGTCATGCCGCTCTGTGACCTTGGCCATGTACTTTAAAACGATATGCCCTAGGAAACACGAAGGGGTTAGTCATAGAGCCAACGATGATGCCAAAAAAGTGCTCTAACTCTTTAAGAATAATGACTAGAGGGCTTAGAGGCCAGAGGAAGCTGATGGTTTTTAAAAAGGCAAAGGGGTATATAGCTGAGATGCCCTGAGGAAGGAAAAAATTATTTGTGTAAAGCGCTCATGTATATGCTTAAAGGGGACGTGGAAAAACTAGCCTTTTTTTTTTTTTTTGAGAGAGAGAGAGCACAAGCAAGGGGGAGGGGGAGAAACAGGCTCCCTGCTGAGACATGGGGCTCAATCCCAGGACCCCGAGATCATGACCTGAGCCGAAGGCAGCCACTTAACCGACTGAGCCACCTCGGTGCCACAGAACTAGCCATTTTTAAGTGCAGATGATGTTTGGATGCTTTAGAACTTGTACTTGATCACTAAATCCAAACAGGGGCCTTTTGAGGGGATAGTAATGGTAACTACTGTTTACCCAGCATTTACTCTTCTCCAGGTGCTTACCCAATGCTTTATGTACATTTAATCTGCCTCGGGTGCACAACTACAAAGTTGGAGTTTGGACCCAGGCACTCCAGGGCACAGTTTGTGCTGTCACTATAATGCTTTATTACCCACCTGCTTACTGTTATCATCCCAATTTTCAGTTAAAGAGATGAGAGCTCCGAAAGGTTCAATAACTTGCTGGGACATTAGTTTTCAGCGAGTCGATACTTAACCTCTTATTGAACTGAACGGCACAGCTCGTACCTGCTGGGCCCAGGATTCAGACAAGGGTATTTCTGTGTGGATCGTTCATCCTTTTTTCATTACTCTGTGCTGATGACAGCAACAGGATATTTTTTAGGGAAGGGGGAGCTATCAGTTTTTAATTACACAAGTAGCACATAAGTACCTTCCACTTAAAAAAAAAGAAGAAGAAAAGAAAAGAAATGGTCCAAAGAGGGCTAAAGGCCCCTTTGCCCCTCTTTTCATCTTTTCCACCCCAAGGTAACTACTTATTACCAGATTGGTGGCTATCAAAAGGAGATTTTTTTTTTTTTAATTAGCTTTGGACAAGGATAAAGAGGAAAAGGAGACCAGTGTGGCATGTAGAAAGTGATAGAGACAAATATTTAACTTAAGTTCGGTGACTCCAGTAAGGAAAATTCCCTTCAAAATCTTCAAGAAAGGAAAGCTGTCCGGGATAGTGAAAATACCAGGAAAGAGTATTTAGGCTCCTCGGAATGCAATTGCATTCTTGAGCAAAGTAAGTAAGCCTCGCCCTAGATACTGGGAGAATGCTCAAAACTGTTGCTAGTTATGTGGGTCAATTATTAGTTACAGAGACAGAAAAAAAAGAGAAATTTTGTTCAGCCTGATGCCTGGCTGGCTCAGTTGGTTGAGCAGCTGCCTTCGGCTCAGGTCATGATCCCAGCGTCCTGGGATCGAGTCCCACATCGGGCTCCTTGCTCGTCAGGGAGCCTGCTTCTCCCTCTGCCTCTGCCTGCCATTCTGTCTGCCTGTGCTCACTCTCTCTCCCTCTCTCTCTCTGACAAATAAATAAATAAAATCTTTAAAAAAAAAAAATATTAAAAACTAAAAAATGAATTCTGGGAAAAGATGCATTAGTAATTTTAATGTCAGTCCCTAGAAAGTTCCCTCTAGAAATTCATGAACAGATGGTCTGCATGGAATTAAAAATGAAGGATTATTATCAGAAGCCACGAATGAGCTGTGTCTCCTTTTCCAGTTGTGTTGCTGAAAGGCAATCTCTAAATATGTCATGATGCAGCTGGTCATTTGACAGATAACTCAGTATACACCAAAAAGGCAACGGGTATCTGAGTGGTGCAGTCGTTAAGCATCTGCCTTAGGCTCAGATCATGATCCCAGGGTCCTAGGATGGAGCCCTGCATCCAGGTCCCTGCTCAAGAGGGGAGTCTGCTTCTCCCTCTCCATCTCCCTCTCCCACTATTTGTGTTTCCTCTCTCACTGTATCTCTTGCTGCCAAATAAATAAATAAAATATTTAAAAACAAAAACAAAAACAAAACCTTAAAAAAAATAAACCAAAAAGGCAGGAGTATATTGAAGTTGGTGATTGGGTGACTGGCTGAACGTTGCCTGCCATGTGGGATGGTTAATGAAATCAGTGTCAGGGGAGAGTTCTCTAGTGCATGGGGCCTGATTCTTAACCTCTGACCGTTTCTTCATTTGCAAATGAGATTATATTAAATATTCAAGATTATATTAAATACTTCTAGTAGAGTTCCTGGAACAGTGCCTGACTGAAAAGGCTTAGTTATTACTGTTACTATGATTACTCTTCATCCCCCTCTACTGGACTCAGTCAGCAACTGAAGTCCTAGAAAAGGAGAAAGCCAAATTAAAACTTGTAGGAAAAAAAAAAAAAAAAAGACCAATATTGCTCACCAAAGTTTCCAACTAAGTCTAACGTCTGATATTTTGAGTATGAGGGATCTGAAAGAATGAGTTCCTATGTGAAGTTGACTCAATAAAGGCCAACCCTGGCAGTTTTATAACTGGAAAAAAAAGAGAGAGAGAGAGAGAGATAAGAGGCCTACTCAGCTGACATGTGGGCTACATGAAGCTGAGAGACGGCCAAAACATTAGATAACAAAATAAGATTTAAAAAATAGGAGAGGTGGAAGTGATTGGCAAAAACAAATTGGTAAGGATAAACCAGAAATCCTAAATTTTAAGAAATGATTATTAAAAAAAAAAAAAACCCAAAACTCAGGGGTGCCTGGCTGGCTCAGTCGATGGAATATATAACTCTTGATCTTAGAGTTGTGAGTTTGAGTCCCATGTTGGGTGTAGAGATTACTTAAAAATAAAAAAATCTTAAAAAACAAAAACAAAACAAAACCCAAAACTAGCTAGAGTTTTTACATATGGTATGGTGGGTTCAAGCATGGGATCTAGGGTCAGACAAATCTGAATCCAAATCCTGGGCTTGCTACTTACTAACCTATGACCTTGAACACAGTACTTACCATCAACAAGCTCAACTTTCCTCATCTGTAAAATTGGGATAATATTTATGTCCATCTCATAGAATTCTTGTGAGAGAAAAGTGAACTGACATGTTAACATGAGACTTAACACAAAGCAAGTAATTAATATATGTCTGTCATTTTCATGATGAGTATTAATTGGTGTGCAAACATCTTGGGATTTAGTTAACCATGTGGTCAGTATGAAACTCCACAGTGAAAGAGTATAAAAAATTGAATGCAGACTCAGGCTCTATTAGTAGAGGCGTCAAGAACAGCTCCATTATTCTCTGAAGTGGACTAGAGGTTTCTGGAACTCTCTCTCCAGAGAGATATTGATTGACAAGTTGACCTGTAAGGTGGACGTGCATAAAAGTAGGGAAGGTGGAAAGTGGAAAATAGACACACTTGCCTTGAAAAGAATCTTGAGGGAGACAGGTGTGTTATACTCAAAATCTGAAGGGTTGTTGTACTGAGGCAACAGACCTATTCTGTTTGGCTTTCAAGAGTCGAATAAGGGGAAGAAGAGCAGTTCTAAATCTTTTTTGAGTCATGGACTCTTGGAGATCTAATAAGGACTGTAGACGTTTTCTCCCCCACAAAATGACACATGCACATAGAGACAAAATTGTACATTTTAGGGGATTCGTGGACTTTCTGAACTTGAGGTTTCAGGTTAAGGATCCTAAGACTAAAACAAAAATTGCAGAACTTTCAGTATGTAAAGAATACATTGGTGGAATGGAATGCCTCTGGTGGTGATGAGCTCCCTGTCTCTGAGAGTGTTCAAGCAGGTGCTAGACTTTCCTGGCTTTCATGGAGGAGGTGAGATGCCTACATTTAGGGGGACACAGACAAGACAACCCCTGATGTTCCTGCTAACCCAGATTCTGTGATTCCTCTTTTCCCAAAACTGATTAATCTTCAACTAGGTGCTCTGAGGCTAGATACTTAACAGAGGATTTTCTGATTCCTGAAATACTTATGGACCTTAAAGGAAGAAGTAACAGGGTTCTTTTAATCGAAGTGATTGTGATATAGTGGCAGGTAGATTCGGATGCATTAAACTGAAGAAACATTAAGAACATCCCAAAAACAACTAAAAGGGATTTCTACAATGAGTTATTGGAAGGAATCTCAAACATATTTTGAGATTATTTCTGAATTCCATTAAAGTGTTGAGACCCAGTGATATGATTTTTCTTATTATGTGTCAGCCACTATTCTAAGCATTTTATACATGTTAGCATGTTTAATTCTCGTATTCCTTTGATCCTGATGTCAAGACCACTGGTAGAATCTTCTACTATCATCAGGCCTTATATAGGGGAAACTGAAGTAGAGAGGTTAACTCTCTGAAGGGCATATGGTAAGTACAAAGGATTTGAAACCAGGCATCCTGGTTCCAGAGCTCTTAGCCCTAATACGTGCTGGCCAGACTTCCTGTCACCCAATATCTTGACTTCAATTTGCAAAAAGTAGGTTTTTCAGGGGAATGTGAAGCCCAGAGGTATTAGTGGTGCATACAATACATTTTACATTAATACTTATGTGATTTGATTCTAGGTGCTGCGTGCCACGGGGACCTCACAGAGAAACTCAAACTCCTGTACAAAATGCATGTCTTGCCTGGTAAGTGAGCTACAGGAGGAGCCTAACTATAGTTATAGTTATGTACCTAACTATGACCTGGTTTGACATTTTTTTTGTATATATGCATCCACACACAAAATCACTCACTGGTCACTAACGGTGGTCTGGTTAGTAATTACCTACATAGGTTCCTGAATCAGTACGTGCTTGCATCTGTGGTCATTTACCTGTCTGAGCTACAAATTGTAAAAGAAAAGAGCAGACTTCTGCAAGAGAGGGAACAAATAGCATTTGGTAACTCATGGGATACAAAGGTTATAAAAGAGAAGAGAGGGTAGGAACCTGAGATTTTGAGTTTAGAAGGAACCGTTTTAACACTGACAGAAATAAGTAGGAAAGATGGAGAGGTTTTGAGCTCAGGTTTTTAAAAAGGTTGGCCTGTAGCTGGGATATAGCTAGCAAATACTTTAAAAATGGGGGATTTGCCTTAAGGATAGAGAAAGGGTAGAACTATAGATATGAGAATTATCTTTAATTGCAAACAGTTTCTGAAATTTGGTTTGTGAAGCAGCATTTCACAGAATTTTGGGAAATCTTATGAAAAGGAAGATGTAAAGGGACACTTTGGTGTGAGGTTGTTAAAAAGGAATGTGGAGTGAAAATGGAGTGAGTTCCCCAACCCCCATAAGGCGTTCAGGGCCCCCGGTGGTGTGCCCCACTGTACCTTTGTACCTTCAGCTTCTCACCCTCCCCCTTGTCACTTCTGTAACAACTAACGCACATTTTCATTGAGTCACAGCTTTGCCAATATGACAGTTACCTCTCCTCCTGTCTCTAGAGCCATCCTCTGATCAAGACGAGCCAGATTCTGCTTTTGAAGCAACTCAGTACTTCTTTGAAGACATCACCCCAGAATGTACACACGGTAAGCAGCTTTCGTTGCCAGGGGTACTGTATTTCTTTTCTCCACAGCCCCCTGTCACTGGAAACAGTTGCCCCCAAAGCTAGTCAGTCAGAGAAGTATACCAATCCAGTGGCCTATGTTACTTTCTTTTCATATATCTGAAGTCAGGCAACCAACTACTGGGGAGTGGGTCCTTGGCCCATGGAAGGAACCATGTACACCTTGTCCCCCTGGCTTAGAGGAAACATGGCCCAAAGAATGATATATTTTGCTCCTCTGTCCTTGCTCTAGCCAGGCTCATTAAGAACATCTTCCTATTATTAGGCTGCTCTCCAGAATCAGGACATGTCTGCCAAAAAGAGTTCCCTTGTTTCTGTCTTTGCCGTCAGCAAACTCCAGCCCATGGGCCAAATGTGGCCCACGGTCTGTACAACCTGTGAAGAGTGGGTGTTTTTTTTTCCTTTTTTTTTTTTTTAAAGATTTTATTTATTCATTTGACAGAGAGAAATCATAAGTAGGCAGAGAGGCAGGCAGAGAGAGAGGGGTAAGCAGGCTCCCTGCCGAGCAGAGACCCTCATGAGGGGCTCGATCCCAGGACCCTGAGATCATGACCTGAACTGAAGGCAGAGGTTTAACCCACTAAGCCACGCAGGCGCCCTGGTTTTTACATTTTTAAGTGGTTTTTAGAAATCAGAAGTGAAGTAATGTTTCATCATGGGGGGAAATTATATGAAGTTTAAACTTTCGTGCCTAGAATAAAGTTTTATTGGAACACAGCCAAGCTGTTCGTTTGTGTATTGCCTCTGGCTACTTTCATGACAGAGGGGTAGAATTGAGTAGTTGAGAGAGAGACCGTAAAGCCTGCAAAGCCTGAACTATTTACTCTCTGGCCCTTTACCAAAAAAAAAAAAAAAAAATTGTGCTCACTTCTGCTTTATGTAGTTGTCAGATCTACACAGATGTCATTCAACTCATTGTACACATCTCCAAATTTTTATATTGTCACGTACTATTTGTCCTGTATGAATTTCAGCAGTGTCTCTCAACTTGCCGCTGCAGCGAGTTACTCACCTTCTCATACATCACCAGTGAAGCTTCGTGGCTTCACCCAAGTCCTAAAATAAAAGTGGTTGCTCCCAGGTCCCTTTGGCTCTTAAATCTCGCCATTCCAAAATAAGCGCAGTATAGACCAGCTTTATTATCATTATTATTATTATTATTATTATTATTGGAGTATAATTAACATATAGCATTAATATTAGTTTCAGCTGTACAACATGATTTATTCTGTTTATCACTCAGTGCTCATCACACTGTGATGTAGTCACCATCTATCAGCAAACTCCATTATTCTGATTGAGTAGAAAGGGGTGCACTGGATCCAGCCTTATTATTGGCGGTAGGAGTTGAGGGTAGGATCTGTGGACAGAATGTACTCTCCTGCTCTGTATGTTGTTACCCAGGTGACCTCAGGTGGGTCCTGGTATTTCCAAGTCTCCATTTCCTTCTGTGAAAATGGAGATGATAAGCTGCTCTCTTGGGTGTAGTATGGATTTAATGAGATCATGCAGGAAGGCTTTTAGCATGGTGTCTTAGCATGTCCTACCCTATTCTTAGCTTTGTTAGCAATAGTATTTTGGCTGCAAAATGTGAGCCCTCTCTTTCTTCGTAAACACTCATTTCAGAAAAGGATCCACTTGTTTCGGAATCCTCCGGAATCCTTCAGCAGGGCTCACATGCCAATAGCAATTAATCATCACCAAAAGTTGCTTTTCTAAAAATGGTTTTCTAACTCCAAAACCACTATTGCTTTGTGTTGAAATTCCAAAAATAATAATATATAAAACAAGCTAAAGATAATCTTAGAATTTTGTGATACAAAGATGACAATATCTTGAAATAATTTCTTTTCTGTCATTTTTCTCCATATAACAGGTCATTATAATAATATGTATGTTTATATATAAAAAAATCCAGTGAGGATGTTGCCATGTCATGAGACATTCTCTGAAAATGTGGGGTTTTTTGCTTGTTTGTTTGTTTTGAAAACATGGTTTTTAAATGGCTGTATTATATCTATGGTATGAACTTTCCATATATTAAATACTTTTTAATATCTGCTGGTTTCCTAAATCATTTTCAACATTAAGAGGAGAAGAACTTCTCGATGATATATAGTATGTCGTTCTCACTTTATCTTAAAAGCTGCTGAGATTAACATGATTCTGAATTCACTGAAGGTCCCATATCTGGCAAACCAGCCACCTTCTGGATGATGGAAGAATGCTGGAATGCGTTCTGACAGCTGACAAGCTGAATGGGAACCGGGAGGAGGTTCTACACCTCTCCCCTTTGAAGGCCTTATGTGCCCTGTGATGTCCCATTTTAAGAAGAAAAAGGAAAACAGTTACAAGTGGTTTCCTTGAAAGTCATATCTTTGAAATGCCAGATTATGAATGTAAGGAATATTGTAGGATTTTTTGGTTTACTTTTTATCCACATAGATTTTTATTTCTTTTTTCAAAAGTTCTTGATCTTTTGCAGGGCTTGACAGAAAGCGAGGCTCGTGTGGGCAAAGTTAAGATGATGATGTAACAGAGAGGGAGGGGAAATCAACATTGATTGGGCCAACACCACCATTTTTTTAAGTGCAGAAGACCACATGACATCATTCCTTTAATTCCTAATTCTACACTGAACCCCAGTTGCGAAAAATAACTCTGGGGGAAAACATTACCGAGAAATAGAGCTGTCAGATAAAACATGGAACACCTAATAAAAGCTAAGTTTGAGATAAAGAAAAGATCATTTGTTTAGCACGCGTATGTTCCATGTGCTACTTAAGATTCACTTCTACTGGGACGCCTGGGTGGCTCAGTTGGTTAAGCAGCTGCCTTCGGCTCAGGTCACGATCCCAGTGTCCTGGGATCGAGTCCCACATCGGGCTCCTTGCTTGGCGGGGAGCCTGCTTCTCCCTCTGCCTCTGCCTGCCATTCTGTCTGCCTGTGCTTGCTCTCTCTCTGACAAATAAATAAAATCTTAAAAAAAAAAAAAAAAAAGATTCACTTCTACTGAAGCATTATTGGTTATTTATCTCAAATTCAAATTTAGCTCCATGTACTGGGTTTTGATTTTGGTGTGGTTTGGTTTGGTTTGCTGAATTGGGCAACCCGAACTTGAGGTTTCTCTATTTCCTACTACAAACGCTGGACCTCTGGGTTTATTGTATAACCTTTTGCTCTTTTTCTTCTATTTCTTGGCAGTGGTTGGGTTGGAGAGCAGAAGGAAGCATGGTGCAGATGACGGCTTCGTCACAGTGAGTCTCCAGCCGGACAGAGGTGAGGACGCTGTCCTCCGCATGTTTACCTTCCTGCGGGTTGGACGCTTGCTTCTTGGCCTTTAAATGCTTATTTCTCAACACTTGGGTTTTAGGGAAGAGGGCAAATTCTCAAGAAAATCGTAATTATCTGAGACTTTGGACTCCAGAAAATAAATCAAAATCAAAGAACGCAAAGGATTTACCCAAACTGAATCAGGTAGGTGTTTAACGTTTCAGTTTCCTCATTTCATACCCTGAAGCTGTTTTCCGGTCATAGAAAAATGTAGCAGAAGTCCCCCTCAAAGAGAATGGTAACTCAGGATATTAAATTAGGATCTGTTTGGATCCATTTTGTGCATGTTTTTGTGAATCAAAAATAGGCTCTGTCGTGGGGCGCCTGGGTGACTCAGTGGGTTAAAGCCTCTGCCTTCGGCTCAGGTCATGATCCCAGGGTCCTGGGATCGAGCCCCACATTGGGCTCTCTGCTCAGCAGAGAGTCTGCTTCCTCCTATCTCTCTCTGCCTGCTTCTCTGCCTACTTGTGATCTCTGTCAAATAAATAAATAAAATCTTAAAAAAAAAAAAAATAGGCTCCGTCGTGAGGAGGTGAACCCCACAGAGAAAATGTGAGTCACAAAATACTCAGTTTTGAGAGTACAGGCATTCTCATTTCAGGTATTAAAAATACCCTCAGATAAAAGACAAGTTCATGCTGTTTGCAAATCACTGTGCTTGGCTATAAAGGTATCTAACACATTTGCTCTTAAAAAGCTGAAACGTCAGGCAACAGATGAAACAATGTAAGTAATTATAACACAGGATGACAATGCTGAGTTTCCTGTGGGGAGAGCAGATAAACCATGTGGGTCGGGCGTCCAAGGACACGAGCAGATGTGTCATGGGGGAGGGGATCGGAGCCTCCCCGTGGGCTACATACCGAAGTGTGTAGATGTGAAGTGAGATGACGTCTGGGATTTATTTATGGTACTTGAACAGAGGAGGAAAGAGTTAGTGGAGCAATTGTCTGGCCGTCATTCTTGACTCCAGGTGACAGGTACGTGAACTGTTATTATCTCATTCTTTCTATGTTTATGGATGTTGGAAAATTAAATTAAGTGGAATGCAAACATGAATATAAAGAGACTTTAAACAACCCATCAATTCATCTGACATCTGGGACTTTTCCAGAGTCTTTCAGGAGCCCTAATATTTTTTTTAAAGATTTTATTTATTTTATTTGACACAAAGAGCGCACAAGCAGGGGGAACGGCAGGCAGAGGGAGAGGGAGAAGCAGGCACCCCGCTGAGCAGGGAGCCCAATGTGGGGCTTGATCCCAAGACCCTGGGGTCATGACCTAAGCAAAAGACAGACATTTAACCCACTGAGCCACCCAGGCGCTCCCAGGAGCCTTAATATTAAATAGCTTCGTAGTCCCGCTTCAGTCCTGCCTCTGTGCCTCCCATGAGATGCTCACATCCTTTGTGTTTTTCCGAATCACTTTTCAGGGCCAGTTTATCGAGCTGTGTAAGACAATGTACAACATGTTCAGCGAAGACCCCAATGAGCAGGAGCTCTACCATGCCACGGCAGCGGTGACCAGCCTCCTGCTGGAGATCGGGGAAGTTGGGAAGCTCTTTGTCACTCAGCCTGCAAAGGAGGGCGGCAGCGGGGGCAGCGGGCCCACCTGCCCCCCGGGCATCCCGGGCATCCTCTTCCCCAAGAAAGGGCCCAGCCAGGCGTATGTGGTAGAGTCTGTTGAGCCCCTCCCGGCCAGCTTGACGGTGGAGGGTGAGGAGCACTCCCTGGGAGGCCAGATGGAGGACATTAAGCTGGAGGACTCCTCTCCCCGGGACAATGGGGCCTGCTCCTCCATGCTGATTTCCGACGACGACACCAAGGACGACAGCTCCATGTCCTCATACTCAGTGCTGAGTGCCGGCTCCCACGAGGAGGACAAGCTGCACTGCGAGGACATCGGGGAGGACACAGTTCTGGTGCGCAGCGGCCAGGGCACGGCAGCACTGCCCCGGAGCACCAGCCTGGACCGGGACTGGGCCATCACCTTCGAGCAGTTCCTGGCCTCCCTCCTGACTGAGCCGGCCCTGGTGAAGTACTTTGACAAGCCTGTGTGCATGATGGCCAGAATCACCAGTGCAAAAAACATCCGGATGATGGGCAAGCCCCTGACCTCGGCCAGTGACTATGAGATCTCTGCCATGTCGGGCTGACACCTGCGCCTTCACGGGGGACGGGTGGGGTGGGGGAGGGAAAGGGTTTTGTTTTGTTTTTAAATGTTCTGTGTTGGGGTTTCTTTCTTCCTTTTAAATTAAATATTTATTAGTACGTGGCTTGAAGCCTCGTGTTTTCATAATATAATACAATGAAAACCGTTGGAGAAATATTTAAACGCCTCGATGTAGGTACACTGTCTTGGGGGGGGTGGATTTACCAGAATACAGTTTATTCCGTGAATTCCAAACAAAGATGAATCTGTCCGTGATATGTGTGTATTTTAATCTTGCTGTTGAGCTATATACGTGGTTTAAAAAAAATAGTGCTGTTTAATGCTAAATAAGGCAACGGCCATTTGTGTATTTGGGCTTTCTAAATGAACCTGCTGGATCCATAGGAAAATGAAATGCCACGAACACAAGAATGTTCCCAAAAGGAAAAGGCAGTGTCAGCTGAGGGAAATCCTATACCATCTGAGGGAGCATTCACAATGTTTTTTAAGATTTGAAATATATTTCATAAAATTCCTCTATTCAAAAATCACATTTGACAAATGTTTCCTTTCAAGGGGGAAATGTTTGAGGTTCTAAACAATTATGAACGTGTAAATGGTTTTTACATGATACCAGAATGACACTCCTATTCGATCAATCTGGACCAATACCAGGCTGATTTTGCATTGGAAAACTGTTCTGATTATTTAAGTCAGCTGACCAGAATTCAGGGAAAATGAACAGTCTTTTGTTACAGAGAATCTGAAAATGGCAACAAAGATGACAGAGGGCTCAGGAATTTTTTTTTCTTTCTTTCTTTTCTGGAAAGAGTAAAAGTACTGATGCTTCTGATGCTGGATCTTCAGCTTCTTGTTACTCCCTGCAAATAAAGCAAAAACTAAAACAATAAACTTTATCATTTCTATACTCCATAGATTCAAGAAATCATGCCATGTATCGCTTATGATCATCTTTCCAGTTAAATCAATGTAAAGTAGTGATCATGTAAACTTTAAAAAAATCTGCAAGATAACGTACCTAAATGTTTTAAAGCAGAACTTGTCACTTTATTAAAAGAATAGTATGCTCTATCTATTTCCTGAATGGATGTGGAAAAGAAGACTAGCGCACCTGCACTTTGGATTCTTGCTTTTTTTTTTTTTTTTATTACTATTACAGTTTTGCCTTTTACAGATGTTGAAGGTGTTCTCTCCTGTTGAATCATCATCATGGTCACATTTTCTTTGCTTATTCGGTGTTCCTGTCAACACATTCCTTTATGAATCCTTGTGTTTTTATTTTAGCTCTTGCTGCTGTTTTTTGTTTACAGAATGATTTTTAAACTGTCCAATGAAGTAGTGTTAACCTCAAGTAGGACCAATGTGAACAAATAAAATACATCAGATATTCAGATACGGCTTTCATCTCAGTGCTTGAGTTCCTGCTTAAGGCAATAATGTGACTCTTTCCACAACGTTGTGGGTGGCGGGGGTGGGGGGTCGCAATTCTATTTGGGCAACCATTTTAAGTAAACCAGGGCTTACAGGCAAATATTTTGAGATAAGAAATATTATGCAGTGATCTACGCTTGAATGGGTATATTTAAAATAAGAGAATGCTTACCAGTTATCTAATTATTTAACTTAAACTGCAAGAGATTAAAGGATGAAAATCCCTCGTTTCATCCTTATTAATACACTGTAGTACCATTTGGTTTTTATCTAGTTGAGTGACCAGTAATTTATTTTATTTAACTTTCAGATGGTTACACATTATTACATCACATGTTTTCTAGGGGCACCTGGGTGGCTCCGTCGGTTTGGCGTCTGCCTTCGGCTGGGGTCATGCTTCTAGAGTCTTGGGATTGAGCCCCATGTCGGGCTCCTTGCTCAGCGGGGAGTCTGCCTCTCCCTCTCCCTCTGCTCCTCCCCCACTCATGCTCACTCTCTCTCACTCACTCTCTCAAATAAAATCTAAGGAAGGAAGAGAAAGAGAAAGAAATCCGATATTCCTGCTCACGTCTACCTCGCCAAAATCAAAGATGGATTTGGGAGGGGAGTAAGAATGAGTTTAAATGTCTTGCCCCAGATAAACCAGAGGAGTCAGGATTCTCCAGGACTGCTGAGAAAGGAGCTTTGAATGGTGTGTCCTGAAAGCGGATGTCTCTGCGGATGCCGGGTTGTAATACCGCCCTCACCGGTTCACAGTGCGTCACTACAGGAACACACTCTGTAATGGCCATGGTAGTCCACCTGCTTCTCGAGGCTCCATACGGAGGAGCCCTGAGCCTTGGAGCTGGTTATTTACAGCTTAGCCCATGAGACAAACAGGCCTGTCAGCCCACCCTCCCAGTCTCCAGAAGGCGGGCAGTGCATTTCAAAGAGCATTTTCTGAAAAAAGTTTAAAGTTTTAATGGTTCTGTTGTGTCTTTTTAGTTTCTCCTCTTGAGCCGACGGTGATTGACTCTAAGTGGTCCCCTTTGAGCTGGCTCTGTGATGACGAGATTCCCAGGCTAATGTTCATTACACCCTCCAGATGGTGGCTCTTGTGTCTACCCTCGACGGCTTGACCTGGCATCCCCTTGAGCTCCGAGCTACAGACTGCTGGGCCTTGGCCTCAGTGGAGCTTTTACCTATGAAAACTCCAAAGAAAAAGCTACTGCCTGGGGAAAGGAAGAAACCACTTGGGGCCTGGAGGCTAGGGAAGTGGGTGGGCCAGAGAAACCACAGATCTAAACTTGTTCCATCCAGCATTACTTCAAGTCTGATTCCGGAGAAGAAGGGGCAGCTACGTGGAAGTGCCAGCAAGGCAATGAGAAGGATGAGGGGCCCACAGCATGCTCATCTCCCTCTGAGGTATGTGGTGCCAGGCAGCCAGGAAGATGGCAGCTCTTGGTGCTTGTACTTTTCCTGTCCCCAGGGATTCAGTAGCTGCTTCCCAGTTGTGAGCTGATCTCTGCCTGAAGCTTTGTCTCAGGGGCCAAAACATAGAGCTACTTTCGTTCTTGAGTCTAACAGAGAGAAACTAATGGAGAGTGTCGAAGGTGCCTCATTTCGGATACCTCTGGGGGAAGAGCCGCTGAGTGGGCACTCTTCACTCCCCATCCCAGAGGAAGGCGCTTCTGTTACAGTGAACTCTCAGCAGCTGATGTGGTGCGTACAAAGCATTGCACACAATGTTCCGCTTTAAGATGACTCTTTACATAACGTTCAGGGCCCTGTGCCTTTTGTTGAACACATTCTTGACAGTCTAATTCCTTAAAAGGAAAGCTTAGGGAGCCAGACAAAGGAATCAATAGATGGGCACAGGCTGAGCTTAGATGGTAAGGACCAGGATTCTCTACCTGTGATCTTTGTTGATGTGCCTGGTTGCCCGGAGGAAGCTAGAAGCAGCTAGAAGCACGTGGCTGAGGGCGAAGCTGTAGATGAGGGCTTTCTGGGTTCACAGCTGCTTCCTCTCCTCCCCCTTCACAGAGAGGCTAGATCTGACTCTACAAACTGAAATCCTTAGACTCCTTGAAGGGCAGGTACCAGCTAGACTGAAGTCATGTCGCTGGGACTAGACTGGAGAGAATCTTTTGAGCCCTCAGGAAAAGAGCTAGTGAATTTACGTTATTTCATGATTATCGCCCAGCTCCTATGCTGTTTTAGGCACCCAGAATACAGCAGCGAATGACACAGATCAGAAATCCCTGTCCTTAAGAGAAATTTACACTCTGATAAGGGAAATAGACAATAAGTGAGATAAACACCATATATGTTATGTGAGTGACATGGGCAATTAAAAAAAAATAAAGACGGGGGACTTGAAATGCTGGAACGCTCAGGGAAGACCTCACAGAGGTACCTCTTGAGTGAGCCATGCCCATACCTGAGGGAAGAGCATCTCAGACAAAAGAAACCACAAGTACAAAGGCCCCTGAAGTAAGAGGCTGCCTGGCAAGTTGGAGGCATAAGAAGGATCTGTGTATGAGCAGAGGGAAGACGTTAGCCATGCGGCAGAGCGGTAACTGGGAACCAGAGCTCACAAGATCTCCGAGGCCAGTGAAAAGACTCTTGCTTTTTGCTCTGAGGTGGAGCATCCTACAGACCGGAGCAGAGGTGGCATGTTCGGACTTAGATGAGCACTAATTCTGAGCACGAGAATGAGAATCATGGTAGAAGCGCAACAGTCGAAGCGGGCGGGCAAGTTAAGAATCACTGTCATGATTCAGGTTAAGAGCTGGCCATGGCTTTTTCCTCCGCCCTCACTCCTGGAGTAGGGGCCTATCCACGCAGGGGTTAAAGCAGTCACAGGCCCAGTCAGACCAAAATGGAGGGAGCTAGACTCTATGCCTCAGGGAGAGGTGTGTCAGAGAACTGGGCCCCCTGGTCCCCTGTCACCTCTACCAATCTGGATTTCCCTGAGTCCTGGCCGGCATTCACCAAGTACTTAGCATCCACATCACAGACGTCCTCTCTGCCCTTCGCCCTTTTGCCACCACCAGGGAAACTTCAGCATCTGTGGAAAGAACACTCCAACACACTCCAGCAAAGACTCCAAACTTGATTTCTGTGGTTTCAACTCCCCGCTGTGTCTCAGAACATCAACCTATCTCCGCAGCTCCGTGCCTCCCGCTGCGCCTGCGCACGCCCCCCCCCCCCCGCCCCCGCCTCTAACCTCAGTTAGTTTGCCATGTCTTTCGCTGAATTTCCTCACCAGATTCAATCTCGTGGCGGTCTCTTCAACCGCTGTCTTCCCGGCTCGCTCGGCTCCATTTTCCTCCACCTTCTGAGGCCACCACTTGTGGTGGCCACTCTGTGATCACCAAATCTTGAATCATTACAAGCATCTGCCCTCTTCAGTCGTATCTGAGCTGCTGGGGGTGGGGGGAGTTTCCACTCTATAGATCTGTGCTGATAAAATTTTCAGAGGAGCTCCGACTGCCACTCAACGATCCCTTTCCAGGTCCTTAATCCAATCCTCCTAATCCCAAAATAGCTACTTTAATTCTTGGCTGGTTTCTTAAAGACCCCTAATCCCAACTCCTGCCCCCTCTTAGGTAAAAAATTTGATTCACATATAGAACTGGCGCTATCAGTTGCAACGTTCCATTTTTAGTCCCTCGACTACAAATTTATATGAACCTGCAATCTGATTTCTCCTTCCTCCATTTTGGAGAAAATTTGGGATCCTTTTACCTCTTTTGTCTTGAGCATCTTCATATATTCAATTCCTTAGCTCTCTTACACACTCTATTTACGGATTTATCAACAGTATTACAGCCCCAAACATCATGAAAGAGTAGTGCCATCTTCCACCTCCATGTTTTCATTTCCAATCTGACTTCCCTTCACTTCAGTATGACTTGGGGATTCACCAGGGCACTGAAGCTTAGAACACCCGTGCTTTCCCAAATTCCTGAACCCAATAGATGCTTTCCAGTTCTTAATTCCTCTCTCTGTGACATTTAGATCTATTGACGTTCCCACATTAAAACTCCCTCCTCCCTTGCCTGGTCTCTGTGAAACCAGTATTTTCTAGATTCCTTTTTCTCTCTTAGACAAAGCCTCCATCAGTTGTCCTGGCCTGCCTTCCTTTGCCACCCCATAAGCAATGAGTACCACAGCAATCCCCTAAGGCTGTCTTCTTCACTGCTTGTCCTGAAGGAGCTCACCCACTTCAACTGTTTCAACTTCATCTGTCTGCTATTGACTCGAGAAGGTTATCTCAGCTCAAGCTTCTCTCCTGAACTGTTTCATTCAACAAGTGTGTACTGAGTGCCTTGGGAGTTCCAAGCTTTTTCCGCACTCTCATTTCCTGAATGTACCATATGCATCTGAAAAACTGGACTTACTATGTTCTCCCTAGAACATATTCCCCTTTGTTATTTCTTAGCTTAATTAAGTGCACTGATAACCATTGGTACCTGAAGCCATGTGAGTCATGGCTTGATGACCTGAAGTCATGTGATGTGAAATGTGAGTCATCTTTGATTCCTTCTGATAGCATGTGATCCACTTCTAATTACCAAGACCTAGCCATCGTTTTTTCTAAACACCTCTTTTTTTTTAATTTTTATTTATTTATTTATTTATTTGACACACAGAGAGAGATCATAAGTAGGCAGAGAGGCAGGCAGAAAGAAAGGAGGAAGCAGGCTCCCTGCTGAGCAAAGAGCCCGATGTGGGTCTGGATCCCAGAAACCTGAGATCATAACCTGAGCCAAAGGCATGAGCCACCCAGGTGCCCTTCTAAACACCTCTTAATCTGGATTTCTCTCTTTGTTCCCAAGTATGCAATCAGTCTGGCTTTGTACTTGTCAATAGGTCCAAGAGAGTTTTTTGGGTTTTGTTTTTTTTTTTTAAGATTTTGTTTGTTTATGAGAGAGAAGGGGCATAAGCAGGGGGAGGGGCAGAAGGAGAGGGAGAAGCCAGCT